GTAAGGGAGAGGAAAGAAAAAGCAGCAGTTCCCTGTTTCAATTTCGGCACAGTTGTGAGCATGACATTGATGAATCAGCCCATTTACAATTCTACTGTGCAACAGAACATGGTCATGTTCCCCCATTGGGAATGGCCTAAAGACACTTCAGTCAGTAGGGCCGCCCCGGGGAGTGTTGAAGAAGAGAAGGGCATTGGCAAAATGGAAAAGACGAAGAAGCACACCACGCAAGCATGTTCACAGAATACCAGCACAGAAGCTGGAGTGTTTGTCTGTGCACGTGTGAGTGTGTGTGTGTGTGTGTGTGTGTGTGTGTGTGTGTGTGTGTGCTTGTGTGTGTGTGTGTGTGTGTTTGTGTGTGTGTGCATGGTCGAAACAGAGAGCGAGAGAGAGAGAGAGAGAGAGAGAGCGAGAGAGAGAAAGCGAGAGAGAGAGAGAGAGCGAGAGAGAGAGAGAGAGAGAGAGAGTAAGAAGAAAGAGAAAGAGGAGAGAGGGAGAGTGAGGAGGGAGACAGAAGGAGATAGAGAGATAAGAGTGAGAGAGAGAGAGAGAGTGGGGTAGAGAGATGAAGAGGGACAGAGGAAGAAGTGTACATACAGATTGTGTGTGTGGGGGGGGGGGGGTAGACACATCCATGGAGATAGTCAGAGAAAAATGCAGAATCGACTGTAAAGAGGCTATATTGTGTACGTCAGGAGCAGCTACATCGATGTTACGCCATCAAAACAAGTTATAATGACAGATAATTACTTTGCAACACGTTTAAATGCACACTCCCTCCACTTCTGTCCCTGCTACTTCACAGCTAAAAGCTAACGGCTATTTCCACGACGCAGGTCATCTCTATACAGTAGGATTTCACTCAAGCGCTAACAGCAATCTCACAGTCATGCTGAGTGGCTTGCACAGCGTCACTCCATATATGGCCATCAGTAAGGACGATCATATAATATGTGACGTACAATTAGACAACCATGTCGGAGACAGCTGCTGTGCAGCTACACAGCAAAAAAGAGGTAAAAATAAAGTAATAATAAAGTAATTTATGATTCGTGTCTTATAGCTGGCTCAAGTACGATATAGTTGAATAAAACTAGATCTACTCCAACAACTGAGGGAGTGTGAACCCAGACATGTATAGCGTTCCGGACAAAGATCTTCAGATCTGACATGGTTTTTGCCTGTTCATTTATCTTGGAGGGGGTAGTGGCCGGGTAGGAGGTTTGACGACCTCATCGACACAATTTTGATAATTCAGGAGACGGGCTTTGACCCTGCCAGGCAGGGCTAACCCGGGCTGAGACAGGTACATTGCAAAACGTTACAAAAGAGAAACAAAGATACTCTCTACAAATTCTCCCCACATGGGAATCAAATTCGGGTTTCCTGTGACAAGAAATCACCTAACCGTTATATCATAGATGCCACTGGCCAAGTCCTCTCCTTGAAGATGTGCGGATGGACGCATGCGCAAAAATTGGACAAATATAGCGTCGTCCGAAATACCCAGAGGGGGGTTCAAAATCCCCAGCACTTGTTCCCGGAACTAAAGTTCTTTCGGGTTGAAAAGAAAAAAAAAAACGCTCGACAAAGGAGAAAAAACTAAACAGTCGAATTTAATCAACTGTTCCTTCCCATACTTCGAATAAGTTCACAACCAGCTGAGCCACAATAATCACTTGCCAACATTTTGAATGCAATTTACATAAGGTTCAATACTAGAGGACAAAATAGCCCACTGACGAGTTCTTGTTGTGAAACCCTTGACTTCGAGAACCATTTTCCACACCTCAGCTTACCTGGTGTTGTGAAAAATGATATAGCCAAAGTCTATAATGCGTTATCACGTTATGAATTATTCAAATATGAAAATCCACAACGAAAACCTCGTGCTAACAGACATATCCTACAGAAATTGCCTTAACTGAGTTAACCTAACATTGCACGTACACCAGCGGGTTGCTTTTTTCATGGAGGTAAACATTACGGCAGGGTTTACAGGCGCGTGTGCTATGGTTTCTATTGTTCGTAACACGCCAAACTCAAATGGACATTTTGTATGACCACTGTAATTATTAAAAATTGGGTGATTGGTTGATCGGTTGATCCTGTGGTACAACCTCGAGCTGAGGGATGTCATGGAGGACAAGAACAATTCAGAGCCCACACCTATTATGAAAATTAAAGTAACAGCTCTGCATGGCGGCCAGCAATGAATTACAGAGCAGCGAATTCTGCTAGATGCCCTAAGTCTTGTCTGGTTTTAAAAAAACAAAAAACTTTTGACATTTCAAGAGGGGAGAGAGTAGCAAACAACCCACCACTGAAATCCGCTTACTAAAGGAGTATCAAAATCAAAGATCGCTGTACGCCCCCCCCCCCCCCCCCCAATTAAAAAAAAATGTTTTAATATATTCAAATTTGTAAAAATTAAAAATACCACTTTTTAGAGTGTTTAGGAAGCGGGTTGATTCGACCCTGTGTGCCCGAACCAACCTGGTATTAGAACAGAAAGACGATAAGAATCGATAATATATAAACTTCATGATCCGGGAACGAAATTCGGGCCTTGTGCGTGCAAAGCGTAGAGCCAATCCACTAACCTACAGATGCCCATTAATATCAATGAGAGACATTTAAACATTGGCGACGGAGGACTGATTACAGTACATGATTAAGAGCTTGCTCCTCTTTTATCTTTTTTCACATTGCAATACGGTAAACAGCGAGTGACTCATTCCACAGGGCGTGTCTGGACACACGAGGGCTGCTAACAAATAAATGACTCATTTTCAGCACGATGGACGCTGTGTCGCTGTAAATTATGAGTTTGATCAGGAACTCTGTAGTTCGAGGTTCGAAAGCCACTGTGGTCTGAACCATTATTTTTGCCCTTTCGAGTATTCTTCTTCTCAAACAAATATCATGAAGGAGGACCAAGTGTTCCGCCTTCACAATTTAGAGACGTTTTACAGCACAATCGACACAACCCAGCATTAAGGATACAACATTAACAACCATAGCAAAAGCAAAGTGTCCATTTCAAAGTCGCCCCCCCCCCCCACAACTTCAATAGAAAAATGTCAACAGAGGACGCAAGATCTGAAGAAGGATATTTACCCAAATCTATTACGCCGGAGGGAGCTAACAACACTATTCGAGAGCTCAGATGAAACTCCTGCGGATTAAAAAAGGGGTGTTTACCTCAACCTAAGTTGCTAAAGATTTAAAATAGAGAAAAACAACACATGCAAAGCAGAGATCAGTGGGCGTAATGGTATGGTATTTGGAAAAGTACGGCACGGCTCGGTGCGAAACCGTAGAGTACGGTATGGATCACGTGGCGTAGCGTGGCGTGGCATTGTATGTTAAGGAATGGCCGTAGAGTACGGTATGGATCACGTGGCGTAGCGTGGCGTGGCATTGTATGTTAAGGAATGGTATGGAATAACAGGGTATGAAAATGATAATGTAATTGTAGATGTCCAACACCCCATTAAACACAATTTAGATGACTAATTTTATTTAGTACGCGAACTGTTTCGACCCGCCGTCGGGTTACCCCAGGCTTAGAGATACGACGTGAGTGCAGACGGACAGACAAAAATGCTCCCCGAACGGGACTCGAACTCATGCTGTCTGAGCTCAACGACGAAGTGTCTACACTGTTACACCACAGACGCCGAAGCAAGGTATGGGCTCGAAGAAAGAGGTGATAAGGCTGCTTAAAAGAAGAGTATCCCGAATAAAAGATCTTCCGAAGAGACTGCCGAAAAGGGTGGAGGCCATACAAAATCATATCACTCAGATCCAAAGTAAAATCTGGTGATGGCTAAAATGGCCGCAAAAACAAGGTATCCACTTAGGTAACAGAGTACCGGGGCAATTCTGAAATCCTATCAGACAGTCAACATGGTCTAGTAGCTAGATACACAGACAAAAATATGATAGCACTGCACTGAGGTATTTATTGCTTTGTTTTACTGCCACACTAACATTCCTATAGGCTGTGTAATCATTGACCAATATTCGGGCAGTAAAAATTTATTGTTGCGAAACTCACAAACATCTAGCAGTTTAGGAAAACTGACTAATTTGTTTCGTTCACCGCCCGGTTAATATATGCAATGAAACAACTATAATGTGCTTTATAGGGCGTTGGAATTTTTTCAGCAAATTTATTTAAGCATGCACACACAAACACACAAACTAAAATACAAACAAACAAACACACACACACACACACACACACACACACACACACACACACACACACACACTATGTATCTAATGAGCGTGGGTGTCTGACTATGCAAGTATATGTATGCATGCGTGTATGTGTGTGCTTGAGTGTGTGTTTGAGTGTGTTTGAGTGTGTTTGAGTTAATTGGGATTGTGTGTGTGAGTGTTGTGTGTCTGTGTGTGTGTGTCTGTGTTTGGGTGTCTGTGTGTGTGTGTGTGTGTGTGTGTCTGTCTGAGTGTATCTGTGTGTGTGTGTGTGTGTATGTGTCTGTGTCTGTCTGTGTGTATCTGTGTGTGTGTGTGTGTGTGTGTATGTGTGTGTGT